AAAGAAAGAAAGAAAGAAAGAAAAAGAAAGAAAGAAAGAAAGAAAGAAAAAGAAAGAAAGAAAGAAAGGAAGAGAAAAGAAAGAAAGAAAGAAAGAAAGAAAGGAAGAGAAAAGAACGAACGAACGAACGAACGAAAGAAAGAAAGAAAGAAAGAAAGAAAGAAAGGAAGAAAGAGAAAAGAAGAGTGTAGTTGGGAAAGGCACAAAGCAAATATAAGTTACCTTTGCATTGCTTGAAGTGGGTTTGGGGGTTAGGCTTCTGGAATGGGACTGAAGTTTTGATGAAAGTGTGCGTTGCAGCAGTCGCTTGACGTCAGGACTGTTTGCAGAGCGCTGTCTTCCTGCACTGCTTTTAATGACTGTTGCTGTCGCGGCCCCAGTCTCGTCTCCCTCCGACAACACCTCCGGTGTTTCTGGACTTTCGTATCTGCTGCCATCCTTGTGCTCTCCTCTTAGGATTCTCTGTTCCTGAAGTTTGATCATTGATCAACATGTGCGCACATGATTGCGCATTTGTAGACACACACACACACACACACACACACACACACACACACACACACACACACACACACACACATAGAGACAGACACACATAAACATTCAACCTCCTGAGGAGTTGGTGAAAGTCCGACAAAACGGTCTGGCACAGTCACGCCCTTTTTTTGTGGAGTTGTGTATAGCGAACACGACAACACACACAATCAGTTTATGTATGTGTATGTTCCTTCCTGCTTTTTATTCCGAGTACTTTCTCTGTGTCTAAGTGTGCACCTCTAAGAACTGCCTAGCAGGTTTGTTTGGAGCGCCCTGCACCACTATTACGAGGGCGTTCCGTTCGGGATGTCTTTGGCTGCATGTTCCATGGGTGTGACAGAACGTTCCGTGGAGTGGCTTCCTTTCCATGGGTGGTGGGAACTAGCAGTCTGCAGTGTCCTTCTTGTGGCGTGCGTAGGTGATGTGCTGCTTTGGTCCATGTTGGCGGTGTGGACTGCCTTGCCTCCGCTGCCTTGCTGCCTTGCTGCCCCATCTGCCTTGTCTTTCTACGCTGCTCGGTTTGCTGCTTTTCTCTTTTTTTTTTCATTTTTTTTTTTCAATTTTTTTTTTTTAAAGCCCAGGTTGTTGTAGAGGCTGGACTCCAGAGACAAGGGGTTACTGCCACAGCTATTGGCCGTCCTGACACTCCCTTATGCTCCGTAAGACCACCTCCCTACCCATCCTCTCGGCAATTCTCCTAGCGCACCCCTATTCCTACTATCCTACCTCAGTATTGAGTACTCAGGACTATCACCATCCTATTTCAGAGGGCGACTTGGACCAGACAGTAGGGACGGTACTTACCTGTGGCCGTGACACTGAGGGTTGCAGTGGGGAACACTCAAGTAGTGATAGTAGGCTCGCGACACTTAGAGCAGCGGGAAAAACACTCAAGTAGCAGGTCGGCCGGTAGCACTCGAGAAGTGGTAGACGTGTCGGGGACTGGAGGCCGAGCAGAAGAAGACAAAAAAGTTGGCATTTTTACTAATTTTTCAGAGGCCCAGTTGTTGTAGGCTAGCTCTAGGCGGGTACCAGTCCAAGTACTCTTCAGTCTAAGAAGACTCTAAGGCCTGTACGGGCGAAATCAGTCTGCCGACTCTACAGTGATGTTTCCCCTCGAAAGGGAGGAGGTACCGGTTGCTTGGAGGCCGCGCAGCCTGGAAGTCCCTGCCCAAGAGGCAAGTTGACCACTATATCTCCAGGAGGAGGGAGGAGCAAAGAGCTTCTCATTTGCTGCATGCAAGTTTGGGCAACATGCTGCTGGAGCGTGTGCCATGTGGCGGAGCAGCGCTGGTCGGGAGCAGCGCTGCTGGTGAAGAAGGAACGCCCAGCTCCTCACCTTGGCTATGGTGGAGGAGCTCGGGTAGGAGGAGGAGGAGGAAGAAGGGGGCTGGAAGAGAGGAGCGCCAGGGGACTTACCTGGCTATGGTGGACGCCATCTTCATCCCCTTGGTGGGCGCTACATCTGGAACCCCTCTCTTGGGGTATGACTGGAGTTCGAGCTCAGGTCTGTATTTCAGATTTTCAACAGTTTGAACTTTGAAGCTTGCCTTTTTGACGTGCTGCTTGCCACGCCTCGCCTTTTTAACATGCGGCCTTTTTGACATGCTGCCTGCCACGTGTATACGCAAGTTCAAAACTGAAAACATTTCGCTGGTTTACAGATTACTTATCTTTTTTGGTTTAATCATCGTTGAGCTGACCGGCGCCAGGCAATTCAGAAATATTTGGTTTTACTCATCGAGTTCCATCGTTTGGATTCGAACACTGGTCTGTATTTCAACAGTTCATGGGTGTACCCACAGAGATAGGCTCATCATGGGGGTATGGTTTACAGATTACCGAAGATATGGTTGGTCATAAATTTGGAGAATTTGCTTCGTCTTTTTCATTTTCATTTAAGAAGATTGAGTCTGCAGAGCGCTTCGGGTGTGTTAGGCCCGTATTAGACTTAGGTTTGCCTTTCGACATCGTGCTTGCCCTGGTTTGGCATGCCACACTTCAAAAAAAAAAAAAGCTAAAAAAAAGAGCCTTATGGCCCCGGCTCAGTATCCATTCTGGAAGGCAACACTCCGGGCTAACTTACGTAGGGTACGGCATTTTGGCATGCTCTTTTTTTTTTTTTTTTTTTTGCCTTTTTGGCAGTATTGCATCCCCGCCGACCGCTGACCCCGATCGCCGACCATATTGCAGCTGACCAGTGTTAAAAAAAAACAAAAAAAAACCGTCCACTGATTTTTTCTCAAATCTGAGTTGGGGGCTGTACTTCGCTTGCTGAGTACAGCCCAAATCCGCTGAGAAACTCTTGGGGATGGGGGGGGTGGGGTTGGAGTATAGGGGGGTATAGGGGTGGTATAGGGGGTATTGGGGGGGCCCGGGGATTAATGAGGGTGTTGGGGGCGGTTTGGGGGGGTGTATGGGGGTATTGGGGGATGATATGGGGGTGTTGGATGTGGTTTTGGGGGTTCTGGACCCTGATTTTTTTTTTTTTTTGCAGGATGCCGACGACCCCCGACCGGTAGGTGCCGACCAGCCGATCGGTCGGCGGGTCTGCAGCCGACCAGTCAAGGGCCGCCGACCGTCGGGGGGTGCAACAATGCTTTTTGGCATGCTGTTTGCCGCTTTGGCTTTTTGACATGCTGCTTGCTGCGTTGTGTATTTTTGATGCACACAAACAATCTGGGCGATGTGGTGAGTCCTTGTTCATCAGTCAAATGCATCCTGGGCTGATGGTCGGAGTTCAACCTCCTGATGTGTCGGTAAAAGTCCGCCGAAACAGTCTGGCACAGTCACACTTTTTATTTTTTTATTTTTTTTTATGAATAAAGACATCTGTTGCTAGCCAACCCCTGAGAGGGTGATAAGACCACCCCCACGGTTGGAGGCCACTCCTTTTTCTTTTTTTTGGACTATTTATCTATTTATGTGCGTCAACCTTGCGCAGGGGCCATGCTAATCTTCTCTGTACCGTTCCAATTCTAAGTTAGAATTTCTAACGGATCTCTCGAAGGACAACTTGACAAGTGCGCTCTTATTTCAACTGAGGTGAAAGCAGGAATGAGTTTTTTGTAGTTCAACTGTAGGAGGGCGACATAGCTCACCAGGTCCAGACATAGCATGTACGAACAGATTCAAAGAAACAAAAAGAAAAAAAAAAGGTATCAGCACTTGAGGGGACACGACTGATCAGATCAAGTGGACAACTCCTACTTGACTCAAATGCAAGTTCGCAGATGCTCGACGAGGCGCATCCTATACTGTGTAATGACCCACCATAACACAGACTGAGGTGCGTGCCTGTCTGAGTGCTTGTCGGCATGAGTGTGTGTGTGACCCGCAAGGATACTTGCTTGTTTGGGAGGCCCGTAGGGCCGGTACTTACCTGTGACCGTGATATTGAGGGTTGCAGCAGGGAAAACACTCAAGTAGCGGAGCAAGAGGCCCCCAGCACTTAGAGCAGCAGAAAAACACTAGCAGGTAGGCCGGTACCGCACCCAGTAGATGTAGATGTGCTGGGTACTCGAGGCCGAGCAGAAGAAGACAAACTTGGCATTTTTAGAGGCCCAGTAGCAGTAGGCTAGGTCTAGGCGGGTACCCGTCCATCCAGTCTGAGTCTAGGGCTTGTACGGCCAATATCAGAGTCTGCAATGATGTTTCCCTCCGAAAGGGAGGAGGTGCCAGTTGCCTGGGAGGCCGAGCGGCCTGGAAGTCACCGCCCAGGAGGCAAGTAGGCCGCTATATCTTGAGGCTGAGCGAAGAGCCCAGCCTCATTCTTCGGTGTGCAAGTTTGGCGACACACTGCTGGAGCGCTGGCTGGAGAAGCGCTGGGTACTCCAGCGCTGCTAGGAGGAGGAAGACCAGGAGCTCCCCACCTTGGCTATGGTGGAGCTCTACCGGTAGGAGGAGGAGGGAGAAGAGGACAGCGGAGGAGAGTGGCGAGGTACCTACCTGGCTATGGTGACACCATCTTCATCACCTTGATAGGCGCTGCATCTGGAAGGCCATAGTTGGGGTAGTGCCACACCAAGGAAGCTTGAGGCAGAGTCAGACATGGCGGCTTAATGAGCAGCGGCATAGCTGCTTCGTGTTGTCCTTTGGACAGGAGGGCAGCGACATAGCTGCTTTGGGTTGTCCTTTGGACAGAAGGGCAGAGCCCTCGGTAGTCTGCCATAGCCTCGGCCTACGCGAAGAGGAAGAGGAAGGATGGTCATGGCTATGGTGGACCTCATGTTGTGCCTGCAGTAGAAGAGGGATTTGGACATTGATTCTGGTACACCCATTCAACATTATTATTGTTATTTCTTGTTTGAATAAGAGGGGAGGAGATAAGGAGGAGGAGAGTGGTTGGCGAAGAAGAAGAGCATTATCATTGGTCTATGCTGGTGTGCATCATCTTCTTCTTCTTTCTTTCTTCTTCTTCTTCTTCTTCTTCTTCTTTCCCTCTCTCTCCTCTCAAGCTCATTCATTTCTTTTTGCAATTGGACGGCATTGTACTTTCTGATGCATGTGTACTTCGAAATTGGCCAGGATCGTACCAACTGCATTCAGGTGAAGGGGAGCGGTGGGTTGGTTGATGGGGGTGCTGCATTGTGGCCGACCTCTTCTCGGAGACGTCTTTGCATCCTCTTGAGAGCACGATCAGCCTCCTCGAGCTTTTCTTGCTCCCGCTGGTTGTGCTGCTCTAGCATGCCTTCCAAGAACTGCAGGTTCCTGAAGCGCTCCACATATAAAGTATAAAGACCCTGCAGATCTACTTGCAGCTTTTCATACTCATCCATATATGCCGGTCTGCGAACAATTGAACAGACACAGACACACAGGCAGACCCAGAACACACACAGATAGACAGACACCCAGACACACACACACACACACAGATAGACATGAAGATAGACACGCAGATAGACACACAGATAGACACACAGCCAGACATATCCAAACAAACAAACATACAGGCACATAGACAGACAGACAGACAGACAGACAAACAGACACACAGATGGGTGAGCAATTCGGAAATGTAATTAGCAATTCACCAGACACACAGACAGACACGCAGTCAGACACACAGTCAGACGCACAGAGATACACAGACAGACACACGGATTGACACGCAGACAGACACATAGAGTAACGGACAAACAGACACATATGGCGAGCAATTTTGAAGTGCGACAACCAGATCGACACACAGATCGACATATTGCCAGACACACAGACAGACACACAGATCGACTCATTGCCAGACACACAGATCGACTCATTGCCAGACACACAGACAGACATACAGAGAGACACACACAGAGACACAGATAGACACACAGACAGACACATGGATAGACAAGGGTCAAAACACAGACAGACACACGGATAGATACACAGACAGACACACACAGATAGACACACGCATAGACACAAAAACAGACACATAAACTAGCGAGCCCAAACAGACACATATGGGGAGAAATTTGGAAGTGTGACAACCAGACACACACACACACAGATAGACACACAGATTAACACAGACAGAGACACAGACAGACACACAGGTAGACACAGAGACAGACACAGACTGACGAACAAAAAGACACAGATGGCGAGCAATTTGGAAGTGCGACAACCAGACACACACATAGACAGACACACCGATTGACACACAGCTGGACAGACAGACACACAGATAGCCACACAAGAAGACACATAGACAGACAGACAAACAGACACACAGACACACAGACACATAGACAGCGAGCAATCTTCTTGAAGTGTGACACCTGCAATTCAGAAGCCCGTCAATGGTTCCCCAGTACCCTATACTCTCTGGAAGTTCCTGGTGTACCTGGACCTTAGATCCCAGTATGTTTTTTTAAAGGTCCAGTATGGTTTTTTAAACTTCTTTTTCTTTTTTCTCCCCAAAGACAGTACAGTAACACAACAATAATTGTCAATTTGACGACTGTCTTCACCCAAAGAGAACGAACAGTCATTACAGCTGTACTTGGAGCAGTTTTCAGTCCAGATAAAGTGGTGATAATAACCGTGTGCTCTTTTCGCGTGGAGTTGGTTGCTAAAGACAATTGTGCCGCCGCTACTGCGAGCAAGTTGTGTGTTGCCTGCTACGAGAGCTGTCTAAGTTGGAGTCAGGATTGTCGAGTTACCTTCTTCCCCCGAATACAACGTACGTCGTACATTATTGCTGTATTTAGACTGAAATATACCCCAAATGCAGCTATAATGACGAGACATCGTATTCGGGGGACGAAGGTGGCATTCTGCGTAACTCCTTAGCAGCATAAGTCCTACGACATCGTCAAGGCCTTAAAAATGTTGACTTTGACCCGCTACAAAAGTCAACAGAGCTAAGGTGAACAGCTTGCATCCGATGTAGTCGGACTTATCAGGGGGCTGCAAGTTGATGGCCTGAGAAGCTGTGGATGGGCTATCAGAGAATCTACAGAGAATCTAGAGTGGATTGTTAGCTTCCCGTCCAAACACGTCACATCTGGTCAACACATCTTGTCAACGCATCTGGTCACATGCTTTGACCAGATGCTGGCACAGCAGGTGGTCAAAGTCAACTGTGTGAAGTATGTAAGCATCCTGTTGACATTGACTGGTCAACGCCCTGGGTCAACATTCAAGCAACAGTTTTAAAGTTTTAACTTTTAAACCAGCGGAGTTACTGCGTGCGGAATCGGAACAGGTCATCGTCACCTGCTTGCGGAAGATTGGAAGTCGAAAGCCAAAATTGAAAAAAATAAAAAATAAAAAAAAATTGAAACAAGCAACAGCTTTGAATCATCAGGGCTCGAACTCGTAACCTGCTTCACTTGTGGTTGCATGTTTGAATGCAAAGCGGAACCTAAGCCTTGGGGGGTGAATGCTGTCAAAGTTTTAAGTTTTTTTTTTTTTTTTTGCAAAGTTTAAGGTTATACAACACTCATGTAGCTTTTTTTTTCGCGGTGGATGAACATGCCTACAGGATGCAAAATCATGCAATAATGATGTTAGGGGCTAGCTGGCACGAGGAAAAAGATGGAAAACAAGGAAACCAAGGAAAAGAAGGAAAGAAAGCCAGCAGGAGGAGCATCTGGTCTTCTCCACGTTGGGCTTGGAACGCAGCGGGATGTCAAATTTGGAGTGCCTGGATTGACTGCACTCGCACTGGGACTTTTTTCCAACTGACCTCTAGACATAAATTAAGGTCAGATTCAATCCTCCAGCAACCATAATTGCAGTCAGATACATCCAGGAAAGTCCGAGCGATTTAGTATATGCTATGACTCCGTGGCAGTGATCTGGAAATGGTCCCAAGTCATAAATTATAACCAGATAGAGTATAGAGAGTAACATCTTTCACTACTTCACCCAAAAAAAAAGGACAAAGATGAAGGCTATCTAAATGGTAATAAATACCAAACAAGAACATTGTACCTGGTCATGATTGTGCGATGGGGGAGACTATTACCATTTCAGCTATGGTGCTTGAGTTACAATAAAAAAAGATATTAAACAAGAAAAAAGAAAAAGCCTAAAAAAAAATCACAAAATTGACAAAAAAAATGGGCCGACTCACGAGAGGTTTGAAAATTGAAACCGACCTGACGCTTTGTAATGTCAAAAGTCGCTTTTCGGAGCGCTCGAGTTCGGATTTTCGTTTCTCTATTTTCGCCTCCAGGCTTTTTTCGTCCCGTTGGACCCCTGCAAGATTCTTCTCTACAGATGCGATATTTTCTGAGACAGATCCAATGGCTTGTTTTACATGCTTCTCGATATCCTCCATATCCATATTTCTGGTGATCGCTTTCACTCTAGCCGCCTGCAAGCAAAGTATAACAGTGTAAATGCATGCATATTGCCACATCATCTCTCTCTCCCTCCCTCCCTCCTTCTCCCCCCTCCCTCCCAAGTTTTCGTACATAAAGACGGAGGCATAATCCCTGCTTTCCAGGACATTGACATAAAGCTTGAGTACATTGTGTCCGTGGCCCCGTTTGGAAGGGCTCTAACTCAATGCATAACGGACTCACCTCCCCCCCCAACTCTCTCTCTCTCTCTCTCTCTCTCTCTCTCTCCAGGTGAACAAACTTAACTGCACAAAGCTCTGCAGATAGACGTCCAGTGCCTAGCCAATTGATTGCTGAGGCAAGATACAAAATCACGAGGAACTAGGAAATTGTGGGAATCACTGTTCTTCCCCGAGTAAAACACAGGGTCTATGTTATTACTATCATCCATTAAGTTGTGAAAGCTCAACAATTTCATGCGCTATCAAGTTATGGCTGCAGGCTATCCTATACAGTTGAGTTTCAGAGAAGACAAAAAGAATCCTCAATCATTCCATGCACTCTGTAGTACCTACATGCTCCCTACTGCTAGTTTAGGACCATACTAGGACCAAGCTGGGCTCAGCAAACTGGCACCAAACTGGGAACACCCAACTGGGACCAAACTGGGACATAAATGGGACCACTAAACTCGGACAAAACTAGGACCACCAAACTGGGGCCAAGCACGAACCACCAAACTGGGATTGAACCGAGGCTACAGTGCATAATGACTTCATTAAAATTCATCTTTGTTGCCAAACAGACGGTTCTGCAGTGAGCACGAAAGATTCACGGACATATTCTCACATAGAAAAAAGAAAGGACGAAACGACAAAAGAACAGCAGCGGGAAGGGCGTGAGGGGGTCATCGTGATCCCCTTCCCCATCCCTCCTTTTTTAACATCAATAGAGTTTAAAGTTTAAACCACCAGTACATGGACCCAGCCAAGTCAAGAATCACAGCTGAGCGTCTCCGGAAAAACTGGAGGCTCAGGCCAACTGGACCGAGCTGGCTGGCGGCGCCAGGGAAAACTAAAACAAAAATGCCGTGCTGGCATTCCGGCACAGCTTGGCGCGCAGTGGGAATCCACCTCGTACAAAAGAGGCTCGGATGTACTGGTGGTCTAAACCACTAGTAGGTTTCCCTTCCCCCACCGCCCCCCCGCCCCCCACCAACACCAAAAAGAAGAAGGGGGAACAAAAATCGAAAAAATCCGCATTTTCAATTTATCACATGTGCATTCCCCCCTTAATAGGTCAGAAGAAGACAATCGGAGATGCATGAAAACAGAAAGGGCTTTTCCAATGCTAGGAGCTGGAGAATATATATATATATATATACACAGCCCCTCGTTTGTTGTCCTCTTCTCCCTCTCTGCCTACGGTTTACCGGGCAGTTCTATTTGACGATATAT